ATTCAAAATTTTTTCTTATTTTTTAATCACATTCTTCATCAAATCATTATTTTAAAATGTATTTTTGCCAAAATAAGCATCAAACTGGCTTCGAATCTTCAAATTTTAATTCAAATGGAGATAATTTATTTCTAAATTTCTAAATAGTGTTATTTACAGTCACTCACTATTGCAGTCGTCCTACGTAGCATATATGCGACAGTTAGTGATTTGATAAATAAAGCAATAAAAAATTACTACATTAATGCATCAAGTCACTAACCGTCACATGTATGCCACGTAGAGCGACTGTGTCGGTGAGCGGCTGTAAATAACATTACTATTTATTTCTTGTTGGGTTGAAAAAAATTATGGTAGATGAGTGGAATTTGAAGAGACAAAGAGACATTTTATTTGGTTAAGAATAAAAAAGAAATGTTTGGAAAATAAAGTGTCAAATTAGTCATAGAGAGAGAAAGTATTGTTTGTGATATATTTATATAATAAATAAATGTAGATGATAAGTTTTATCTCATTTATATATTTTTTAAAAGGTTTTTATATTTTTAATTTTTATTAATTTATTGTGTTTGCATGTGATAGTTCTATTTTAAAGAATTTTATAAATATAATTTTCGTTTTTCTTCAACCAAACAATTAACTTTATATAATTTGAGGCCCTCACCAAAATGGAATTTTAAACGATCGCTTATCTCGCCTATAGTCGGGGCCGCCACTTATAAGTATATCAAAAAGTTACAAAGTCACCTATATTAACTTTACAAACCATTAAAAATAAAAAAAATAGAAAGAATGAAAGAAAGATCAGATTGCATGAATTTGATGATGTTCATAAGAAAGTTTAGCTAAAAATGGCTTAAAATACCATATTCCACTTTGAAGAGTTCTATAAATGAATAGAACGAAATGAAAATTGTAGCCACGATACCAAATCTTTTCGTTTATTAGCATATTTGATCCAAATCTTTTATTTGCGCCACCGAAAGCACCAAACCTTTAAAAATATCTCACTTGCAGTCCAAATGAATGGATCGTTAGTTGATCAAATATAAAAATGACAAAATAGCAACTTTACAAGTTTAACATTAGATAATTAAAAAATTTCAATACAAAAAGTGCTACCACTATTCACCCGTTCCTTCAAAACCCCACCCCTCGCCCACCATGAAAACCAGCCACCAACACCATTATCGCGTAGCCACCAGCCACCATTACCATAGGTTTCTTCTCCTCATCTTTCGAACCTGACTCCTATGCTGCCACATTCGGACCGAATTTACAATCTGAATCCAAATCGAAAACCCAATTTCAATCCCATTCTCCTCATATTCCGTAAAAATCTTAGGAAGTAGATACGGAAGAACGATAGAAAATCTTGTGTCTTTATTTATGTATACAAGTAAGAATTGTGTTGTCTATTTCTGTGTAAATTAGTAATATTTCTGTATACAAGGAAGAAAACCTTGAGAATTGTATGGGAAAGAATGGTAAGAATTAGTTGCAACATTGAGTAGCAGCAACTCGTGTGTTTATTTCTGTGTAGGTGTACGTGTTGTTGTGGTTGGTGGTGGTACGTTTTGAGATGATGGTGTTGGTGGTGACTGTGACGATTTTCAAGGCGGGGGTGAGGGTGAGGTGGGTCAATGAAAGAGAAGGTGAACAGTGGTAGCCCTTTTTTTCTTATCTTTTTTTCTTATTGAATTTTTTAAATTATCTTAGATTAAAATTTTAAAGTTACCATTTTGTCCTTTTTATATTTAATTAAATGAATAGAATTCATTTGGACTCCAAGTGAGATTTTTTAAGGTTTGGCATCTCTAGTGATACAAAGAAAAAGTTTGGGTCAAGTTTGCTAATAAACGACAGGTTTGATACCGTAGCTACAATTGTCCCCCAAAACTAATAAAGAAGAAAATGCAAATCTACGTGGTTCGACAATATTGTGGCAAAGTTACATCCACGAGAGAATGAAGAAGAGAGGAGATTGTATTCATTTGCATATGAAGTTTGCAGTAATATGTAGACATGTTACATCAAGTATTTGCTTTAATAAGGCATTAAAGGAAAAGAAATAAATAACCATAGAAATATTTCAATTGTGATCAATAAAATTATCCACAATATATTCTTCGATATTTGCAAATATCCTCAAATATCTCTCTTCTCCCACGCTTCCCCTCAAGTTGTTGCAAAAATCTATGGAGCCCAACGTATACAATATTTTATAAAATTTGGTAGTGGATAAGCCTTAAAAAAAATGCTAATTGTTGACTACTACAAATAAAATGAGTGTGAATTACCTTATCTTGTACTTGTTATCATACAAAATAACAATCAAATTCAATGTTTTTGTCCTCCCATGAAAAATTAATTTTGAAGCAATATGGTTAGCAGGTTGATTATTATAATCTGTGTGGGTTAATGAAAATAAATGTACTTGATAAAAATGTAAGACAAAAAATTAAATGTTTTTCAAAACAAAATGTGATAGTATTGTGTCCGTCGCACAACAAGTCGACATGTCGTATTATCTTGTTTTCATCAACTAAAATATGAGGAGGGATAACATAGAATAAGCTAACGCTCAATAAGCAAACCCCATGCATATAATGAATGCTTATTATACACATGCATTATTTTTAAATAAATAGTCTTCTTAATATTTATTCCATTTTCTTTCATTTTTTAAAAAACTTTAATATTAATACCGTGATCTCACTTAGTGTATCACTTAGTCAATCAAAATGTAGTGGATAATTATTATTTGTAACCCGATTTATTCTATCGATAATACCGCAAAACATTTAATATTAACTTATACATTAAACATTGGTCAGGTGTGTTGTCCGCCATGCCCTAGTTTGCTTAAATTTTTAGCCCCTTTTTAATTTACACAAAACAAGACTAAGTCTAGAAACTTTATTTCTATTATCATGTTATTTAAAATGCAACGAAGTTGATATTTGATTAAGTTCGAAGTTCAAATTTCATTTTTTTCCTTTTTCTAGTTTAAATTTTGGGTCAAATTTGTCTGAGTTTAAGTAAAACGTCATTTTTTGTCAAAGATATTATTGAGATGAAATCATATGAAAAAAGCTTTTCTAAAATTAAAAGTACAAAAAAATTAAAAATAAGAAAAAAAACGGAAAACTTTAGGTCATTAATTAGATGTACTTTAAAAAAAACATCTATGTAATTTTTAAGAATTAATATTTAATGTACAGTTTTATTGACATTCAATGATGTGTAAAAAATTGTGCCATCGAATGTTTAAATGTTGTTAAAATCAATGGCAAAAATATTGACCACCTCACATTGTCAATTAAATTATACTTGTAGCAAGACTGAATTTTTAAAATGGAAATCAACACATATGGCCCTAAACATTTGTCCATATCAACAATACTATATGTACAGAAAAATTTGCCATATAAATTTTTAAAATACCAGATGACAACATCTCATTGGAGTTTGGTAAAAAAATTAAAGTTAAATCATCCAATAAGATGTTGTCATCTTAGTCCTGGACGCTGTCATGTATAATTCATCTGTACAAGCAACTTTATTTTGTCTAAACATTCATTAATATTGCACATAGACATTAATTTCTCTTATTTTAGTTTTGATTAAAGGTAGGGTTAGCGTCGGGGTAGATTCAGAGAGAGGTGGGCTCCCCCGCCTACCAAATATTTTTGCACCCCGTACCCGCCCCGTTACTCATTTAAGGCAAGGCGGGGCGAGCAGTTGTCCCATTTACGTACCCATTTAATTTTTTTTATATAATTTTTGATACTTCATTTTATTACTCCTATCCATTAAAGTAAGACAATGATATAATTATTAAAAATTTTAATTAATTAATTTATTTTTAAAAGTTAAATTATTTGAATATATTTGGTAAACTAAGATTTTTATTGTTTTTCATATTTCTTAGATAATCTTAGTTACCATCTTTGATTAGAATTAATGAAATTTTATGGAGTTTTTCATTTAACGTATTGAATTCTTAAAAAAGGGGAGGGGGGACCCGGTTACCCGTACCCCCTTCAGGGAAGAATTCCTACCCATACACAATTCAATTACCCGATTAAGTGGACAATCCCCCACCCCTTTTGAGGCGAGCCCCGCGGGCATCGAGTTTGATGGAAATTTTTGTCATCCCTAATTAAAGGGGCATATATATCAAACATGAAATAAAATAATTTAAAAGAAAAGAAAAGAACTTACAAAAATGTCATCATTTTCTTCTACCCAAACTGCCGCCAACGTTGCCACCATACACTACCACAGTCAGGAAGGTACCCTTGAATAGCGTAAATTCTAGGTACATTTTAGTGGTTGAAACCCAAACTTTTTCTGCCACCGCTTTGATCCAAATCATTGTCGATAATTTAGTGTTCGCAGTTTCAACTCTATTCCTCAATATCTGTATCTTGCCAACAATAATGTCCTCCTTGCCGATTTTACGATGACTAGCAAACATTCAGTACTATAGTAAGTACATCAAAAAGTTACAAAAGTCATCTATATCTGGTATTAACTTTACAGACAATTTTAAAAACAAACTCAGATCAGATTGCATGAATTTGATGATGTTCACAAGAAAATTAAGCTAAAAATGTCTTGAAATATCATGTTCCACTTTTAAGAGCTCTATAGATGAATAAAACTAAGGAAAAATTGCACTCATTGTACCAAACATTTTGTTTATTAGCAGACATTATCCAAACCTTTCATTTGTACAACTAGAGGTACCAAACCTATAAAAAAACTCACCTCGAGTCCAAATAAATGGAAACCATTCATTTAATCGTTAATTGACCAAATATAAAAATGACAAAAATAGTAACTTTACAATTTTAAATTAGATAATTTAAAAAATTCAATACAAAAAAAAAAAGAGAAAAAAAAAAAGAAAGTGTTACCACTGTTCACCCCCTCCTTCAAAACCCCATCCCCATCATGAAAATCAGCCAACAAAACCATTATCACACTGCCACCTGTACAACAGATTTCTTCTCCTCATCTTCTGAACCCGACTCCAGTGCTACCACATCCTGACCGGATTTGCAATCCGAATCCAAATCGAAAATCCAATCTCAATACCATTCTCCTCATTCTCCGTAAAAGTCTTGGGCAAAGTACGATAGAAAATCTTGTGTGTTTATTTATGTATACATGTAAGAATCGTGTTGTTTATTTCTATGTATATTAGTAATAGGAAGAAATCTTGAGAATTGTATGAGAAAGAATGGTAAGAATTAGTTGCAACATTGAGTAGCAGTAACTTGTGTGTTTATTTTTGTGTAAGTGTATGTGTTGTTGTGGTCGGTGGTTGTTCGTTTTGAGATGACGATGGTGGTAGTGGCGGTAGGTAGTGGTGACTATGACGATTTTCAAGGGTGAGGGTGAGGCGAGGTGGGTTAGTGAAGAAGGAGGTGAATAGTGGTAGCCCTTTTTTTTCTTTTCTTTTTTTTATTGAATTTTTAAAATTATTTTATGTTAAAATTGTAAAATTATCATTTTGTCCTTTATATTTGGTCAAAATTAATTATTCTGGTCAATTAACGATTAAATGGATTCCATCCATTTGGACTCCAAGTGAGATTTTTTAAAAGATTTGACACCTCCGATGGCATCTCCAAAAGCGTATATGTCGCAAACTTGATTTTCAAAATTCAAATGGCGTCTTTAGGACAGCCTTAGTTGGAATTCAGTCAATATACACTGATGTTTTAAGAGCTTTAGTTCACAAGGATTCAGGAAGTTTGGAGTTAGTTTGCATACTCCTCACCATGTCCATTAAGGTTTGATTTCTTCTTTCTGCTACACCGTTTTGGTCCCGAGAACTATGCATGTTGTATTGGGCAACTATCCCATGCTCTTAAAGCAACTTTGCAAATGGACCAGGTGCTTGTCCATCCTCGGTTTATCTACCGTAATATTCTCCACTCTATTTGTTCTCACAATGTTAATTTGCTTTCCACATTGTTTCACTATTTTGGCCTTAAAAACTTTAAAGGCATCTAGTGCTTCATTCTTGTTATGAAGCAAGTAGATATACATGTATCATGAATAATCATCAATGCAAGAAATGAAGTATTTCGAACAATATGAGTCCATGTCTGGACCACAAATAACTGAATGTATGATCTCTAACATATTTGTACTCTTCGTAGCACTTTTTTTGGACTTGTTGGTCTATTTTCCCTTAATGCGGTTTGCACAAGTGTGGAAATTTGTAAAATCCTAAGTACTAAGTACTCCATCATTTACTAATCTCTTAATCATTTCTATGGAGATATGTCTCAATCCTTGGTGCTACAATATAGAGGAATCTTCATTCATAACATATTGTTTCATACCAGTGTGAACATGCATAACATTATAAGTAGTATTATTTTGCAAATTAATAGAGAAAAGACCATTAGATAATGTACCATTCCCAACACAATCAGATTTATAAAATAAACTGAAGGATGTTTCTGAAAAATTAAAGGAATATCACAAAGGTACAAGTCTTGAAACTGAAATCAAATTCCTAGAAAAACTTCGAATATAAAATGTCTTTTATAAATTCAAAAAAAAATCATTGCTTAAAACTAAATCGCATGTTCCAACAGCCTCCATATGTGAGTGCATCTTGTTTATTGAATAAATGCACTGCTCACTTTCCACTAGTTTCCTTAGGTTTCGCATACCCTGCAAGGTATTTGAAATATGGATTTTATAACCAGATTCAACCCACCATGTTTAATAAATAACATCAACCATATTAGATTCATAGTAGACAAATGCAGTTGGTTTACCTTACTTCTCAAGCCATTTTTGGAACTTGGCGTAATCTTTCTTCATTCGCCCTCCTTTTTGCAGAATAAGTACTTGGCTTCTTTTTTTATTCCACCTTGGGATGGTATTTTACCTTTCCCTTTCTTTTTGGCTTGGTTTTCATCATTTCCTTTCTTTGCCATCAATGCACTTTCACCATTATCAATCTTCCTTCTTCCTGAACACACATGACCAGAAGTTCATTAATTGACCACTTATCATTATGTGTGTTATAGGATATCTTGAAGGGTCCATATTATTGTGGAAGAGTGTTCAAAATGTAGTGCACAAAAAAAAGACTCAGACACATCAACCTCAAGAGTCTTCAATTGAGCCGCAATATCCCTCATATGCATAATGTGCTTACACACACGTCTCACAGTAGTGATTCCCATGGATGAAAACTTCATAATCAGGGTGCTATCAAGTTAATGTCTTGACATTTTTATGCTCTTCGATGGAACCACGAATACCAGCAGAAATCTTGGTCTTTATAAACATTACGCTGAAGCGATTGGATCGCTCCATTGTTTATAAAGAGCAATTTAATCCGGAGTGCTAGTGGGAGTATTTTTGGTTCGTCTTTCCTGATGGCATAATCAATGCTATCCACCCCAAATGAAGGAGATACTCTCATTCCAGATTTTATAGTTATCATCCTTTAGTTCGGGATTATCACATTTAATATCAAATAAATTCGCAGGTTGAATAACTATATAAAAATTAAACATACAATACCAATGTAAAATCATGCTTCAAAAATATGAATCTAGTGACGTAAAACTTAATTGTGGGCCAAAGTCCTACCCAATTAGATCCATTAATAACTACATGAAAAAACTATCAAATTATGCTCATTTTCCTAATTTCTATGGGTAAAATAGGAAATATAATTTGATATTCTATCCTAATTAATGATACAAATATAATAAAAATTCCTGTAGGATAAAATCTATTATATTCAATATGACTAACCACAATTAATGTTATAATATGATCCTAAAACAATTAATCTATAATTTTGCATAATTAAAGATATTGTGGCTACTGTCTAATTAATTAAAATTATATTGATCACTCAACATTTAATTTAATTCACAAAATATGCTCATATAAATTGCACAAAACCATAAACAATATGAACACAAAAATTAAAATTTTAATTTACTAAATTATTTAACTCAATATTGCATGTATGACAAATAAAAAAAATTATATATACAAAATAACAAAAATAAATAATTTTAGCACATAAAAGAAAACCACAAAACACACACATACATTAAAAAAATACCTGCTGAACGATCAGATGATTCTAGAGTTATTGCTAAAGATATTAAAAATATTCAAGTTCAGAATAACTATACAAATGTTATTCTTCAATCCATACATTTCCAACTCAACAGAATTGAAATTAATTCTTATTCAGAAGCCTCTACTCTTCAAAAATATTTCAAAAAACTATAGATCAAACTTTAATCAAATTTCATGAAGTTACCCCTCAAAATAAAAATAAAAATAAAAATAAAAATAAAAATCTCAAAACTGATATTAATATTCTCAAAGAACTTGCTACTCAGTTATCAAAAATTTTAGGTCTAAAGGTGTAATTGGCGATTCTGTGGACAAAAGGACTAAATTGTAAATTTGTAAAAGTCAGGGACTCAATTGTACAATGTTATAAAAGTCAGGGACTTAGGGTACAATTTAGCAAAGTTGTGTGGTAGGGACTAGGGTTTGAATGTGTGGTTCAAATCAAGGTCACGGCGCCGAAAGTTCGCTAGTTGTTCGCCCTGCCGCCGCTCGAGCGAGAAAAGCAGAATGGACGTCCCTCGCTCGCCACTCGCTCTCCGCTCGCTTTTCGCTCAAGCGACGGTGTTATATGAAAAGTCGGATTTTGGCTTTTTGGAAAGTTTGACACGGCCTAGAATTCTAAATTGCCCCCAACTATAAATACAAAGGCCGTGAACGAAAATAAGGGGTTGCTTCATTGTGCTTTCATAGTAGAACACATTCATATCATTGTGAAGAGATACAAGAACACAACCAACTGGAGAATTCATCAATCTTCTTCTTGTGATCCGAAAACCAATATTTGAGGGAAAAACATCAAGTTTTTAAAGATAAAACACCGGTACTTCTTCATCTATTGAGGAAGGGACTCTTTCAAAGGGTGATTGAGGGAGGTGGACAACAAGCACAGGAATTGGACAAGAACATGAGGTTCTTAGAATTTCACTTGGTGATACAATCAGCTGAAGACCAGGAGGCTGTATTGGACAGCAGATTGGGCTGCAGGAGGTAGATCGGAAAGCTAACAGAAAACTAGTAGTATCTACGACAGTAGATCGTGAGACCGGAGCAGCAGGTCTGACTGGGTACGGAGTTTAGCAGAACTTGTACTGGCTGAATTGATATAGTGGAACTTACTGGCTTGGTCTCGGAGTTTTACCCACGTTGGGGTTTCTCCGTCATCATATCGTGAGTTGTGTTTTGCATTGTTTTATTTACTTTACGCAAATCGGCAGTTCAACATAGGAATTAACTGGACTATATGTTTAATCACCTAAACAATTAATTAAAGTGACTTGTTGCTTTGATTAATCAATTCTGCAGTGAGGTCGAATAATAAATTGATTGGAACGTAAACTTGGTAATATATAAAACTTGAATTTGATGTAACATAACGTTCTCCGTGAATTTCCAAGTGGTTGTAGAACGTTCCTAGAACTTTCAAGTGGTATCAGAGCCTAAGTGCGAATCCTGACCTTACATTAGTCTAGATGAGTATGTCATTGAATGTGCCACCCCACTTTGATGGGAAGAATTATACGTATTGGAAGGTGAGAATGAAGACGTTTTTGAAATCCTTAGATGAGCGTGTTTGGCAGATTGTGGTAAATGGTTGGTCAGCCCCTAGTACCACAATAGATGGTGTAGTCACTCCTATCCCTGTCGAGAACTGGTCTAGAGCTCAATTGGATAGCTGTGATTTAAATTGCAAAGCCCTCAATGCCCTATTTATGGCAGTTTCCCCCGAGGATTTTAGGAGAGTGTCCATGTGTGAGGTAGCAAAGGAAGTTTGGGACATTTTAGAAATCACACATGAGGGAACTCAGGCAGTTAAGAATTCTAAATTGCAGATGTTGGCCACTAGGTTTGAAGAGATTAGAATGCGAGAGGATGAGATGTTTGATGTATTCTATGTGAGTTTAAATGACATAGTCAATTCATCCTTCAACCTAGGTGAGAAAATCCCCGAGCCTAAGATAGTGAGAAAGATTCTTAGA